TCTGCGCCGTATAGGGCGACGGTACTATCCTCTCGAGTCTATTAACTGGTTGCCACGGCGGGCTTCCGCCTCTTTTAGGGAAGCATGCGTTGGTTCTCCATACATCGGCTAGTCACTCGGATGCATAGCGCGACAAGGAGACGTGCGTTTCTCCTCCTGGGGTCAGGTCACCACAGTTGCGCGATCATTGAAGCTTAAGGTTAAGTTTGGGTTTAGACTTAGGTTAATGCTTACACATTGGCTTATGCCTAAGCCTATGATTGGGCCTAGGCTTAGTCCTAAGCTTGCTCCGAGCGAACAAACGGCAAACTAATCGGGAGCGTCTTGATTTCAAGTGACCTGACTCGGGGAGAAGAAAACGCTATGCCCACCGCATCGACACCGACACTTTCGGCATTTTCTCTTGTCGTGCTGTGCAAATGGGAAGAAACTAGAAATTGGCATACCGCTACGTTCTGTGATACTCTTTTTTTCAAACCTTTTCCATACTGAATAGTCTTAATTAATCTTATCGTTTCGGTGGCTTCTAACTACTTATCTGGTTCCGGAGCCAAAGCTGTATGCGACGAAAGTTCTCGAAATTTCCACACTCTGCTAGCTGCGAAGTCGTTTACAGTTGTGTTCAGTAACTTGCACTTTGAACGCCGACAGGGAATGTAAATTAGCAGAAGCTTTCTGTCGTAGTTGAGCATCGTTTTTTGAAACTTTACTTCTCGTTTTGCGCGGGAATAAATCCATGAAGCGTATGAGTGTAATCGTTTTCTGCATTCGAACACGCTCGCCGATGATGTTTCCCCGACCTCCGTAGAGTTGGTCTGTTGGCGCCCACAGAAAAAAAGCATTCCTATTCTGTCTCCTTTGAGCGAGTTGGAATGGCTTTATTGAATTGTTATATTGCTTTGCAACAATACAGGCGGGCCTGGGTTCAGTGGCCGCAAGCCGCTTCAATGATTCCAAGGTTCGGAGTCGAAATTTTGAGAATGTCTCCATTGAAAGGACTGGAGTAGCATGAATAATAATAATTATTAACTACTCCATATCACACAAGCTTTGATGGTCAGCTTTCTCTAAATTCTGTGTCTTTAAAAATATGATTTCAAGCATCTATTTATTCTGTAGTTTGCTTTTTTTTTACCATAATTTAACACATTGCGGACCACCCTTATACGAGCATCTCCATACATTTTTCATGTTTTAAAAAGTGAATCATCATTAATCTATCAACAATTTTATCAGTGATGATACTTATGCTTTCCTGGTTCTGAAAATGATGGCAAGCCTTAAAGCAACAGTCCAGGGAGGGTTTCAACTAATCCAAAGCTGAGGTGTGGAAGCATGCCCCAGCCCAAGTGAAGTCGAAAGGAACTGTCACTGAAGTAAAAACTCACCTCTGAAATGCGTGAGAAGGGCTCGAAGTTCGTCGAAAAGGGCGGGTCAACCGAGCCTCGGTTGACCCGCCTCCTTGCTGCTGTGAAGAGCGCTTGCTCGAATAGCGGTCGTTGCGGGACCGCCGCGCTGTATCAGGTCGATTCCATAAGAAGCGCAACTTAAGCGCTTCAATTTCGATTGCTGGCAAATAGTTATGTATTTGCAAGCATGCATGGCTATTTGCCAGCAGAGCAATTGGAGCGCATGTACTACGGGCAGGTTCGGACAACTCGTCCAACACACGTCTCCCTAAACGGCAGGGGGAGTCCCTGTCTAAGCCCCTGCCCGACGTTTTTTTCTACTTTTTCTTTCTCCATTGACCAACTTCTCACCTGCAACGTCATTATAGGTGGTCCTTACCCGCGAATTCGTTCCTGGATTGTTGCTTTAAGGAGCATTGAAAAATGCCAAATAAATCAGACAGGAGCTAGATCTTTCGCTCCAAATCGTGCGCCACATGGTGGCGCACGTGGTACGCAATGTGTTAAAAAAAATTTGTATAATAATAAATTGAGCAAAAATAAGCAATACTTAGGGTGAGAGGTGAAAAAATAAATAAATAAATAAATATAGAGGGTAAAATTGGATGACATTGGTTTATAATTTTGACTACGCGTTAACTCTAAAGAGACATTTTTAAAAGTCTACTATCATATTCGTGACGGTGATTACATTTTATCACGATGCGATTTTCATGATCAGTGCTTATTCAGTGCTTATTCAAATTTTTTTAACCCCCAACTTCAAAGTAATCTTCTGTGACCTTGAAAAGAAGAAAAGCTTATTTTTCTCTGTCATACGATTATTATCAGAGATTTCTTTCAAGAAAAAACAAAGAGATTGTTAAAGATTTATACAAATTCATTGGCGGCTTTGTTCTGAAAATCCTCGAGTGCATTCAGAGTCTTACTCTGAATGAATAACATCCTGATCGCTCACCAAAATTGTTCATATCCGTCAAAGGAAGGATGCGGTCAATTATTGACAAAATTTCCCTCTTTCTGTGGAATCCGGTACGGCCTTGCCCAGAATGGACGTTATTCTTGAAGAAGATTCAGTTTGTACTTATCCCTAAGGAGGGTTGTAGAGGTCATGCGGTGGAAACTTCATTTCCGTACTATCTGCGACGGCAGCGTGAAAAGATAGCTTGATAATACCCCTTCTTTCGATTGTTCCAAGTAAACAAGCCTCGAAAACAACCATCGAAGTGGCGCTTGTTGGTTTCGAGCACTTTCATCTGTTTGCCATCTTTAATCATCACAAAAACGAAAAACAATCTTAGGAAATCTCTGGGATGTGCTACCGTTCTGGCATACAATCCGATCGCGTCACATGAATGTTTTTTGTCCCATCCTTTGTCCTATGCAAAGCGGAGACGTGACATGTGCAAGCTTTTTTATTTCTTAGATAAGGGTGGTGGCGTCTAATCGAATTTGAATGATAAAATTGTTGCTTACTTCCTCCTCACCGTCTCCGATTTTCGGTTTTTTTTTTCATCACAGCGGCCACAGTACATCAGCATCATTTTGTTAGGAAAGCTCACCATTGCAGCAGAGTTGCACTCACGTCATATTTCTAATCTGCGGAGAGTGCGAGGATTTCTTTACTTTGATATTGAATAAGTAGGTGTTCATGTCTGAAACAGAGGAAGCATGGCATCACAGAGGATTGCACTGCGTGAATCCTCTCCAAAGGCCTCCTTGGATATTTCTCTGTATCGGGATTCCTTTACATAGCTTTGATCTTTCCAGAATGCACTTTCTTTTCCTCTCAAAACAGCTGGAATGCGACCCTCCGCGTCGTACGCACGCGTGACCCAGATTCAGAACCCTGTCTGTGTTATGATGCGTTGAAAGGTTTTTTTGCAGAATGACACCTGGCTCAACAACTGCGATCTGAATCTTAGGAAATCCATGCAAAATAAGGAGACATATTAAAAATTGTGCCTGAAAAAAAACTTGTTCAGAGTCTATTCCAGTTAGGGGACATCATGATGCAGTTTTTCCAGAAAGCTAGGGTAACCCCGAGCCAAGGGGAGTGAGGGCAGTCACTTGACATGCGTGAAAAGCTGGAATGTTCGAGTTCACATTAGATCGCCGAGAAACTGCATCATATGCTCCCCCCCCCCCCTAACTGGAATAGACCCCTTGTTCACCTTGCCGTCTTTGGTTTCTCGACGCTTTTTTAGCCTCAACCATTCCTGTTTTCTTCAGTGGTAGCTCAAAATTGGCTTTGTGTTATTATATGATTTTTGAACCCCTGTTCAGTTCGATTGTTCACTTGTGTTTCTGTATGTTCGTTTATTATTGTGTCGACTTTTTTACTCGCTATCGCTTTTAACCTTTCAATTTTTCCCATTTCAAACCAGTCACTTTTATTCCTTTAGGTAACCGCCTTGTGTCGGTGCCAGTAGGTTAGCTGCCGAAGAATGATACCATGGCTGGACCCCAATAGCAAATGGCACGACGTTGGTGTGGCGCTCATTTGGGTTAGTTGTTGTGTTTTACCCTGTGAAATCGTGAGGATAGTTGTCAGGTAAAAATATGGTGGAGAGATTTTCATTTCCACTTGTTCACCGACCGATGTGGTTGGACTACAGAAGTCTACTTGAGCATTTTCCTTACATCGTTTTGGCCCTACCTAGTTCTTTTACTGTGTATGGTTTTACCATACATACGGTATACATATTAGTTGTAAGTTAGTTTTCTCAAATTCGCCTCATCTTGTTCCAACAACACATTTTCATTTTCAGATTATTGGCTCCTTCATTTTCTTCCGCGTATTGCAATACGTAGTACGGTGGTATCTCTTTGGTAAATGCACCTTCCGGGCGTTCTCATACTTTGGGCTTAGTGGACGGAATAGAAATAGTGACAGCAGCAGGGATCTAACAGTAAGTTTTACTGATCCCATCTCGTGGATTCCGCTCGATAGAGATTTTCTATTTCCAGGTAATTCCTCCAAACAAGAAATGGCGGATATCGAACGAATCTGTTTCGCTGTTCCACTCAGTGATTAGCGGAATGTGGGCCGCCTACTGTCTACTTTTCTATAAAAGCTTAACTGATGATCTGATCAACGATCGGACCCGTATAGCCATTAACTTGGTGAGTAACTAGCTTCAATCTTTTCTTCCATGGTTTCCAGTAAGCTTGTGAAGTAAATGTAGTGCCTCTACTGGGACCTTGTGAATTTATTGCTCGTTGGGGTTTTTTTTCAATTTTTTTTCGTTCGACCGTTAACCAGTCCTGCTGATTCATGTTATAGGTGATTTAGATCTCGTTCCATCTCGTTATCTTGGCATGATTTTCCTGATTTGGTATTGAATGAACGTCTGCTCGCGATTATTGAGTTACTCTTCACCATCACGGTCGTGGTCAGTACGAGATCGTGTATCACTTTGGTAAGGCTTCACCTAGTTGAAATGTTTTGGAGTTACAACGAATTTTTGATAAACCTGAAAAGTTCTGGTTGATCAGGTGGTTTCACATCTATTTGAGAGCTATGATCAGTAATTCAGTTAATTTCAGGTTACTAACAAATACCTCGGAGTCGTTATATTCGGTCTTCTAATGGAAATCAATTCAGTATTTTTGCATACGAGGAGCATGTTAAATTTGTGAGTTTCGCTCTGTTACGTGGTGTTTGCTCTTTTTTGTTTGCAAACTGAAGCATAATGTTTATTGACTGCAAGCAAGCGTTTATTGATTCTGATTAGTTGAAAGGCAGATCCTATAGTGATAATCTGCAAATTTTGTTTTCATGTATTTTTTCCATTTCATTTTTCATTAAATTCCATAATTAGGTACGGAGTGAAGAAGAAGTCGACCTCATTTCGTGTTGTTGCTCTATTAAACATCATCACGCTAGCTGTTTTCCGCATCAGTGTGTCTGTCTACTTGGTGTACTGGGCCGTAAGTTCACCTCCTTTTTCAACAGTTGGCCGATGTCAGACTTTGCGAGTCGAGAGGTTCGCTAGCGTCTGCGGTCGCCTCGTGTACAGCGAATCGAACCATTTGCTGTACGAATCTAGCGATCCGCTACTAGAGCGAGTCGAGCCATTCCCCCTCGTAGGGATCGTTCGATTCGCAATGTCTGACATCGGCTATAGAGAGTAGCTATGGTTGACTTCATGTGTTTCTGTCCTGTTCTTTGAAAGCAATCTTTGACGTCCATTGAACGACACTGCTTCGAGCAGATGTTCAGTATTCTCAAGCCCCGTGGGAGCATTTCTTCGTACGTTCGATTCAATAAGGGATTTTCAGATAATGCAAATAACCGTTATTCCGTGGGTGCACTGCATCTTCTGCATCTTTGTGATTTTTTCTTTGTTCTGCTCGAATGCGGTTCTCACATACAGGGTGATGGCGGCTGATGGTCTTTTTGGTAAGTGAAACATCAACGGTCTTCATTTTGTAGACTCAATATCGCTTGCATTTGTATTATTCGTTTGTAGGAGCTGCTAGGGCTCGTAAACCACCACTGGCGCCCGTAGCATGTGCCTCAGTCACTGTTGAAAATGGAGATCGAAATGAGGGCGAAGCTGACGATGATGATGATGAGGTATTGCAGATGTCTTCTTAAATGTTTTCAAATAAGCGAAAGATCTGGTGTAGTGTAGTGTGGGACATTCTTAAGTGGAAGTTAAAGCTTGTTGATTTGCGAGATATAGAGATTATATGGTTTACTGTGAAACAAGAATCCTAGATAGCCATGTCTCTTTTCTGGTGTTTCAAAAATGCCTATCATTTTAAAAACTGGTGTATGTACAGTCAATATCCGAAAGTTGGGGTAGGTGTGTCACCGGAAGTGACGTGCACTTGATAGAAGTTGCGTGGATAAGCTGTTGCCAGCATGCTTTGCTGATAGCCAGCGATGTATGTTGGAAGCAGCTTATCCACATAGTTTCTATCAAGTGCACGTCACTTCCGGTGACCATCGAGTGTACGTTATTTTATCGATGAATCCTGGTGCGCAACTCAACAATTTTCGACGTGTGCTCTGAAGTCCATCAAATGCGCTCGCATACTCATTTACACCAGTCATTTGATGGCGTTTTTGTGACGGCTTCAACACAATTCGCTTAAAGGGGGCATTTGCTGCTAACGAATTAAATATTAAAAACGGTAATGTCTGCCAAACTTTCGGGCAGCTACGAAGCAAAACATGTTAGAAATTTAATTTCTAAAATTTGCTGAAATTTTTAGGAAGTTGCAGTTACCAAGAGAAAAGGTCAAAAATTAAGACTCATCTTTCGTATGATAGCTAGGAGTTCAGTTTCCACGCTACTTATTCCGTTTTTTGTTTCGTGTTCATATGCTTAGGGGAAGGAAGGTTGCTCACGTCTTCTACCAGAGTCCCGTAACCCAACTAAGGCCTACAGTCTTGTCGTTGGCTCTTGCTGTTAGGAGGGACATCGAAGTGAAAGGACCAATTGTCTCACTTCAATGTCCCCTTCTAATGTCTGACAAGTGCCAGCGACATTTTTTGAATAACGGCTAAAGTACCTAGGTTCGCTTAATATCCCAGTAGTGAAATATGATCAAAATTCAATGCCTTGTAATTTCATTGGTCATTTAAATCGACCTGACGCTCTTAAATGCCTGTTAACAATTGTGATCACTTTTTTCCAGGATGGTCAACATGAAGTTGCCGTCCAGACTACGGATGCTCGTATTCTTGTCGATGACGTCACTCAAACGGTTGCTTAAAGCGTTGTCTTTGTTTTGGTTTGATCACTGAGCTTACGCGGTGCTCATCTGTCTGCCTTAAGTTCTGGCGTGTTTCTAAACCACGACACTCGATTACCTTACCGTTTCTGGAGGTTTTTTCATTCATTAGAAGCGTTTTTGTTTGCATTTCAACCCAAGATTTCTCCTTTATCTATTAATTTAGAAGATTGCGGGGTTGTGAAGCCATTTTTTAGCTCTGTGTTGTTTTTCATTTTCTCATTTCACTTCTACCAAAATTCGCACATTACATGCTCTTGCCTGCTTTACCCTCCTCTCTGATGTCATTCTGAAAGAATGTCATAGCGAATGATCTGTTGTTGTTTGTTTTGCTTTCTGAGATAGTTGTTCTATACAATAACTCGAGTCGATGTTCTATATCTATCTAATTTGAAAGTTTTGTTAATGTATGATATTTCGTGATTCTAATTATAATTGCAACAATGAAACAGATTTCATTCCATGTCATAAAACTTTATTAGTTTTCATGTTATTGACAGTGAGCGTAAGGGCAAATC